GTACATCGTAGGAACTACGTGCCCGCCCCAAGTATAAACTCAAGTACGACTGAGGAAACAGCAAACTGGAAGCCACTCCCACGAGGAGACACCTTGCAGTCTCTTATAAACAATTATCGCGACAAATTATGAATTGCTGTTCTACCGAAAAATTTCTATTGACGTCTAAAATGAGATTTCCGAAAAATCCTTCCAATCTCCAAGGTCACTGGAAAAATCCAACGATTTCCCTCCCGAATGACCTTCACCTTGACACATATTATCAAGGTCGCAATCCTGAATCACACCTCCAACAGATTTTAGTCATCGTCCGTTCTCCAACAAGGAAATTTTTTGCCTCGTTGTGCGCACCAAGTCATTAAAATAACGACGTTATAATTATCGCGTCGCCTGCTAATTCCGGCAATTGCTTGATTCGACGGATTTCAGTCTCTCATCCGTGATTCGTAATCTGTAATACCTAGTCTGGTATCGACTTAACGAGCGTCTTTTGCTCGATCAGCATGTGAGAGAGAGAGAGGGGGGGGAGGGACAACATGGTGCTCGGCGCGCATGGGCTGAATTATCGCGGTCGCGGTTTGTGCCGTGTTTCTCCCCTCCCGGTGGGCTCGGCAAACACCGGTGGGCTGTTTTCCAAAAGCAGATGAATACGACGCTAATTGTCACGAGATTTGAGGGTAAAGCACGTCGCGGCAGCCATATGCGCGAGGTGATAGTCGTTGCGCTTTTCCAATAGTCGCGCAGCCGCGAGACTATCAGCGTTCGCCGCTCTTCGATACCGCTAATCGCACAATAATAAACGCGAGCCGGCGATCTTATCGCGCGCATAAATAATGCAACAAATACGACGGGGGGGCGAGCGAGATATCGCGGTATAACGGGATCCCCTCTGATCGACGGGAAGGCGAAAGGCATTCGGAGGTCTCGCACGCGCGAGACAGTCAACGGCCAACGATCAGCAAATTCGCTCGTCCTGCTGACTTTGCTCGCTCGCCCTCGTCGGCGTCGTCGCGATCGAATTCGCGCAGGTTTGGCACACCTTCGGTGTGCAAAGTTCGCGAAGAAGGAAGAGTCCAGCGACGGGATAATGGAGGAGACTCGGAGTTTCCGCGAGAAGGAGACCGACGAGCCGCTCGTGGCTACCTCGACAACTCGGCAGGTAAGACCTCAGGCGAAACCTCAGAAAATCATGATGACATCGAAGTGATGAGGAAAACTTCATTTTCCCATCATGATTCGATCATTTTCTCGTCATTTTCATGTTATTATGATCTTCTGTTCTGCCTGGGGAGCGGCGGGGAGTTGAACGATCGGCGGGAGATACACGCGGAAAATGGACCCACGTCACGCTGCTATTTTCTAACGGCATTCGAATGTAGCGAATGTGTGCGTGTGTGTATGTTCATGCCGGCGGGCTCGAGCAATCGATAGGACGCGAAAGCATTTCTATTTGCGCTGCTTAAATCCGGACCGCCAAGTGAAAGATGGCTCCGCTCTCGAGCTTTCGCGCGGCCGAGTGAAAAAGAAATGCCGTGAGTGAAAGATGGCTCCTCCGCGAGGTCTCGCGTCTCTCCGAGCGCAAAAATGTCCGGCGAGAGAGACGTTGCCGCGAGGTGATCGCGAGGTGAACGCCGGACTTTGTCGTCGAAAGGCTTTGACGAACGCTCGCGGAGATTTATGCGCGTAACTCGAAGCGACAACTGCAGCTCGTATTACACGCCATTATTTTCCGCCGCCGCGATCCCACGTGCGGTTTCGCGAGTTACCCACCGAGTGTTTCTGCGGTGGACGGGAGAAATTGAGTCGATTACTGACGAACGTTGAATTTGTGTATCGAAGCGCATGTTGTGCGCGCAAAATGTGTTTGCTGTGATTGAGCTTGACGGTTAGCTGCGAGCGGTCGAGAACGTATAAAAGGCGATAGTAAACCGGCGACCTTGCTTAATCGACCGTGATAACCGCGTGGTGCGATGCATCATGTCCGTTTTAATCGCACATTCCCACTCATTTGTACGAAAATGCACACGTACACGCAGAAATGATTTTCCTCTGGAAAATTCCTTTCAGATAGGAAACAGATTCCTTCCAAATACTCCCGTGAATTTCGGAATCAAAATATTTGCTTATCGATAGAAAAAGAGAAGAGTGATGGGGGAAGAGGGGGGGGGGGTCGAATCGATTAAAAATCTCTTGTACTGATACAGGTATCAACGTGTACATAGCCGAGAGAAAAAATATCTAGGAAAGAGGAAAATATTTATTCGGCGGGTCTCACATTTATACTATTCGGGTCTGAATTCTTTTGTTTAAATAAAATGAATAATTTTGCTCTTTCCTGATAAGCTGTGGCTTCGAAAGAAATACTTTGTACTTTTCTCATCTAATAAAATTTATTCTCGGTGTGTGTGTGTGTGTGTGTGTGTGTGTATTAAGTAACGAAGAAAGTTCGTGCCGTTTCTATAGATTTTGTCATTGTCAAACTGCACATGCAAAAGTTTATTTAACAGAGAATTTACCGGTGTATAACACTTGCGAAAATTAATTATTTAAAGCTTCGCGTATATTAAAGCGTACATTAAAACGAACTTTTTTGCTTACCTGATATATAAAGGTAGAAATAAATATGTTGTCAGCAACCACTGAATAAATATTCTTTTTTATCCCTTTAAAATTCTTCTTATCGATTTTTCTACATTTTCAACTCGATCGAGCATTTTTCAGTCGAGGTATTAAAGCGTTTTCCGATTTTGATAACGCAAAAATTATTTGTGTGTTTTCATTGATTACGTGTGGCAAATACGTTACTATATTGTTACTACTGGATGTTTACGAAAGCTGTTCCGCGCGCGTTCTCCTACCTACCATTTTTGTACACTCTTTACGATAAATATTTATGTTATCATCTCGCTTCAATATGTGAGCATCAATCAGCTGTCCTTGATGATTAGTGATCGCGCGATTTTAAAAGAGCTACAAGAAATTCGTACTTCCGTAATTCGAACATGTCAAGTGTGTGTGTGTGTGTGTGTGCAGGAGACCGGAAGAAGGACACTTATTGTAAACGAAGCGATAATATTCCCAAACGAACACTCGTTCGTTTATTCAGCGCACGAACCACTTGCGTTACCAAAATCGAAGAGACACCTCCGTGACTCCGAAAGGCTTGATTCTTCGACCTGCAATCAAAACTACCCCGTACGGGCCTGGTGCCCTTTCTCTTCAACACCCTGTATACACCATAAAAAAGCAAACCGAAAAGCTAACCGTCGCTTATCGGTCATCAAATGTTTGCTGAGAAAATAAGTCTCATAAACGGGGCGTAATTTCCCGACACGGCGTACTGCTCGAACACTTCGATATACACCGTGTCGAAAAAAAAAAAACCGTCAAATGTCACGGCCATAAGAGCCGTGTAAAAGAGCCGTTCTGTCATGTCCGTCTGATAATTTTTCGCATCGAGGACAGTCTCGCGTACACGTGTGCAACATCAGGTCGCAAATAACATTGCGACGGCGCATTCGTCAACGACTTTAAACGCTTAATAAGAGTGCGCGCGCGACGCCACCCGCACCTGTGTGCGTAAATATTTCCACGTGCGATTAAACGCGGCGCGGCCAGCGGCGGACGGACAGAGAGGCGACGTTATTAGGCGGGGTAGGATGGACGTTCGCGAAGCTACGACACTTAGTTTATGCCGAGCGTTCCGCGGAAGAGTGTGTTATCCGCGTAATCGAGGTGCCGGCTGGCGAGAGCATGACAGACGCACGCCGCCAGTAAAAGACAGCCGCGCGAATTGCTCAGCGCGCTGAACCGCCGCGCGACGCGTCGCTCGCCCGGCAGAGGCGATCTCTCACTTCCGGCGGTTCCCGTTTCGATCCGCGATTTACGATCGCGGCCGCTGACGACGGGCGGCTGCACTGGCTCTGTGTGCAGCGAACGGCTGTGCAGTCGTCGGCGGACATTCGGCGGCGGAGACAGGTCGAGGTCCGGCTGCGGCACACGCGGGTACACGGCGTACGAAGATTTGAAATTCTCACTGTGCGCGGTTCTTCGTTCTTCCGGTCGGCTGATCGATTCGTCTCATCGAGCGCCACCCACCTAGCGATCGGAATCCACACGCGTCGGCTGTGACCTTGACTCGGCGTGTGAGGCACCCGGCGAGATTTTCGGGCGAACGGGCGTGGGAGTTGTTTTCGAGCGTGAGACTGATTTTGATCAGCGCTTCCGCCGAGTCGCGCGCGCGCTTCGTTGAAGTGGAGGAGGACCGAAGCGTCTTCAGCGTCGTCGGACTTTCGCCGGGCTTTCGCTCGATGACTCCGGCAGCCGATTTCCGAGATCGGAGTCGATCAGGAGTACCCTCGCGAGTACCCTCGTTTGTACGACGCGACGAGTGCGCTGAACTCCGCTCGTTGCGGCCGGAGATGTTTGCGAGCTTGTATCTCTGATAACGTATTCAAGTATCCACGATAATTCGCCGTTCGAATGTTTTCGCGAAATCAATACTCGATTCTTGCTTGTATCTTTTTATCTTCCATCCGTTATTTTTATATCCTGAAGAGTGCGGTCGATCGCGAAGGACTGCGCACGACTGCTACGTTACCGCTTCTTCTCTAGTTGATAAGTCTGAATTTCACGCTTGGCTCTGGCTTTGCAGCACGGCAGAGAGCCTTTTTGTTCAGTTTGTGCTCCTTTCTGCTCAAATGTCGCCATCAGAGCTCGCTCAACAAGTTCACTCACCAGGGTTTAACAACTCAATTGATTAGTAACTCAAACTCGGCTCTTTGACTGAAAATTCTAAATTCGACATTTTGTCGATCGCAAGATGGCGGAGGGACTTTTCGTTCAGTTTGGCCTGATCTACATGATTATATAATACTATCATGTTTATATAATATCATCATCAGACATTCATTCATATGTGTATGTGTGTGTGTGTTAAACAAGAATGTTGCATGTTGCAGTTGCGCAAGATGAGATGGAACGTTTGTTTTAAATTTTAGGCAATAAAACGACTCCGACGGAAGTGGAAGGTACCGTCTCAGTTCGGCTCTCGTCGTCCCTCGTGTTGGCTTTGATCGGTCTAGTTGATACTCGTTGCTAATGTTGGTCACAGATTCCGAGCAGACGCAAGTTTCCGAGATAATGGAAAAAAACTCCAGCGATTACGTAAAAACCACCGAAGCTGATGTGCCAGTGACGCAGGTGTGAAATTGTTTTTTAATTCCGTCGATTCATTCTAAAACCGTGGAGAAAATTACAAACGAGTTCCTCGTACGAAGAAGCAGGAAAACTAAGGAACAGAGTCGCCTCGCTTCGAGTTGACGGTTGTTCACGAGATCACGAGTTCAGGAGGGGGTCCCTTAGCGCCGTTGATTGAAACGATAATTAACGATCCTGGAAACGATCGGGGAAACCCCGCGCGAAAAAGAAGTTGGCATTCCGCGCGCGACTGTCTTGAGCGATCGAGCGATTTTTCTGCGCTCCGCTTCCGCGGAGCTTTTGACGTGACGCTTTTTTTTCTCTTCTCAATGTCACGTTGCTCGCGTTGAGAACTGCGACTGATCGAACGCGAGGTCGAAGATACGTGTCGCTGATTGCAGGCGCCGGAGACGAAGGTCTACAAGAGACGATGGCTCGTCCTCATCATCTTCGTGCTGTACAGCGCGAGCAACGCGATGCAGTGGATCCAGTACAGTATTATAGCGAACATTGTGATGCGCTACTACAACGTCACGAGCTTCCTAGTAAACATGACGAGCATGATATACATGATAACGTACATACCGCTGGTATTCCCCGCTAGCTACCTGCTCGAGAAATTCGTGAGTAGCCCGATTTCGGTGGATCAATTTCGTACGCCGACGACGACGACGCGCATCGTCAGCTGTCGCGTCGGTCTCCGCTGATTGCGCAACAACTTAATTGACGATTAAATCGTACATCAGAGATAAAGCGAGCAAATGTGTAATCGGGGACGCGTGCATTTCCCACACCTGGTGTGCCTTGATCAGTCGTGCAACTGACTCTGAAAAGAATCGTAACGAAGTAGCGGCAAATTAGAGACTTCAAAAGGGTGTACTTTGCACCGCGTGCCAAGTGTAACTTGAGATACAAAGCATGTAACTTAAGGTATCAAGTGTACCGACTACCGACTTACGTGCGAGTCCGTTGTTTCACAACGCAGCTCGACGAGACGCGACAGCATCGCGGCGCCAATCACCGGTGACCGCGTCGCGGCGGCATTCAGCCGCGTGTGACGAAACGTGTGTGAAAATATCGACTGGATTGCGATGAAACACTCGAGGGAGCGGCGGGGTGGGATTTCAGGGCCTCAGGTACGCCGTGATCTTCGGGGCGCTCGGGACGGCCCTCGGCTCCTGGATAAAGGTGTTCAGCGTGGCGAACGACCGCTTCTGGATCACGTTCCTTGGCCAAAGTTTGGTGGCGGTCAGCCAGACCTTCATCTTGTCCGTTCCAGCGCGCCTGGCCGCGGTGTGGTTCGGACCCGACCAAGTCAGCAGCGCCTGCAGCATCGGCGTCTTCGGCAACCAGGTAAGGGCTCGTGTTCTTGGCTCTTGGCGTGCTACTGAAAGCGAGCGAAAGAACCTCCGCAAAAACTTAGCCATATCTGCTCAAGTACAGTATTCATAATCTGTTGCAACAAGTTAAATAATATATTCTTTCTTTTAACTATGTTTCATACAATTGCTTATGATGAGCGTCTTTGTTAACTCATCAAGTCCGTAACAAAACTGATTGGGAATCTATTTGTTGCGATGGTTGCTTATGTCATTCGTGCCTACTTATTGCAGAACCAACGGGCCAGAAGTACATCTACATATATAATTGTTATATAAGAAATTTAATAACCGTTAAGGTAATCAATAACCGTAGCTTCTCGACGCTATGTTATGCATGCCTGATTATTTTATTGTTTACCAAGCTGCCGCGCGCTTGGCCTTGGCTGAGACCAACGAGTGAGTAGTCTGCGCTGTTGCAAGAATGCAAAAATTACCGCATTCACTTCCACCTGACTTGAATGAGCCGCTGATGATCTCTAAGCACGATTGTTCCGGTGGCCGAGAGCGCCGAGGAAACGAGGACTTCTCCAGCCTGGACATGTCGAAGCGGAGCACGAGCTCTCAAATCTCTTCCCCACGCTGCGCGGGCTCCTCGTCGTTCCGCACAACGTCTATTTTTCATTCAAACGTCAACGTCAACCACCAGCCAGCTCGTCGACTCCATCGAACGCCACTCGACTCGTTTCGCGTCTGAAAAACGCGTGTCAGCATCACTGTCGGTCGTCACTGGTCGACGACGGAGCATCTTCAGCTACCCGGCAAAATGGAGTCGACCGCAGAGACAATATCGAGGAGAGAGAGAGAGAGAGAGAGAGAGAGAGAGAGCTCATACAAGCCATCGTTCCTCACGAGTGCTCCTCGTGCGGGCGAACGAGAGCGGGCGAGCCAGCGCGCGCAGGCCACCGGAAGCGGCGGTCTGGAGTGCGTTCCTCGCCAATCGAGGAAGGGTGCTCGGAGAGATTGAAATTGCGACATGATTAGGTGGGAAACCGAGTCCAAGTGGGCACCCACGATTAATTTGTCTACCTACTCGCGGCAGACGAGATCCTGCCGGCGTTGCGGGGGACGGACGGATGATAGGACGGCGGGCGAGGAGGAGGGGGAGGGGGAGAGAGGCAGCAGCAGCATCGGGGGCTCCAGCGCTGTATATCGCGAGAATTGATCCAAGGTGCAAACTGCGGCCACTATCGCGCGTCGTGCCGGCCGTATCGTCACGCTCCAGCTTGATCGGCGAAGCCGAAAAGCCGCGTCTTTGTCTCGCGCGAGCGCTCGCATGGCAGCTCGCTTGATGTTCCTTCCCTCCTCCGCCGCCTCCTCCGCCGCCGCTCATGGCGAGACATGAGACCCGGAATCGCGTCGCTCTTCCTCGGCAAAAACGAGCGGGAAGCCGGTTGTTTTAACAGCTGGAGAGCGAAATTCTCCGCTCCATCTGGGCGACGCGGGCGAGGATCGGCGCGATGCACCGATCCGGCGGAAGCGCGACTCCGCGCAATTCCGTTTATTTGGCAAACAAGACGAAGACAGGATAGAAATAACACAAACGGGCGAGAGTGCCGAGCGTTTCCTCTCCCGCGCCTTTCTGCCGCGCCGACCGCCTCGGCGACGATTTCACAGGGCATTCGTCTCGCTTTCTGTTGCAGCTCGGCATAGCCATCGGTTTCCTGTTCCCGCCGATGTTGGTGGAGAACAGCAGCAACGTCTGCATCATCGAGAAGGGCTTGCGGCTTATGTACTACATCTTCGCGATTTGCACGACGGTCATTCTGCTCCTCATATTGCTCTGTACGTGTATGTTCTCCGCTGAGAACCGCGGAGCGACCGCGCGAAGCTTTTCCCCCAGTGTGCGCTTGTGACGAGCGAACGTTTTCTTTTCTTCTTTTTCTCCTCAAAATTTGGAATATCTTTTCTCTTCACACGAGCTTACGCCGGGAGAGAACTCGGTTCGCGACCGGTCACCGTCCGAGCGAAATTGACCGAGGACCTCCTCCGGGGATTCTCTTGTTCTCACGACCGAGTTTTCCATTTGGTTTTCCGTTCTCTATTTTCCCCTGGCAGTGAAAAATTCGGTTACACTGAGGGATTTTTTTTTGCCGCGCAACCTCGCACGCAAATGACAGTAATTAATATATCTGGCCCTGTCTTTCCCTTTTTTTTTTTACAGGCATTCGTAGTAGTTTTTTTTTTTGTAAGAAGCGAGGTGAGAGAAGTGAACATGAAAGAAAGAAAGAAAGTGTTCAATATCAGCCCTCCCTCCTTCCCCCGTCGCAGACTCTACTGTGTCGCGAGTCCGAGTATTCTTTTATCCCTTTCGCTTAAAGGAGGTTGATTTGCAGTCTTCAAGTCGGAACCGCCATTGCCACCCAGCCCTGCGCAAGCTGTGCAGAAGAGAGAGAACAAAGAGAGCAACGAGAAGTTTTCTCACTCCATCAAGAAGCTGTTCACCAATATCAGCTACTTGTTGCTTCTGTTCAGCTACAGCATCAACATCGGCATCTTTTACGCCATCAGTACCCTGCTGAATCAGATTGTTCTCCAGCACTTCCCGGTGAGCATTTTTGGGCTGAAACTTCCGAAAACCACCACTCTGTCGCCATGAATTTTAGTAGAAAATATTTACAATGGTCTCAGATGAACAAACATCCGTTCGTTGTCACATGATCATACGATCACGGTGCATAGATGAATTTGGGAAAGCAGTGTGGTGCTGATTACGATGTATAGTGTTACTCGGATACATTCCCCGAAATTTCTCGTCCTGTCGATCACAGCGCGATTTTGCGAACAGACAGATTCCTTTTACAAAAGAAAAAAAAAAAGAAAAAATACGCTTGATTATCCCGAAAACGAGATTACGGGGGCCTATTACGGTTTTCGGATGAATTTACTCACTCTTCGCAATGTCATTTCACGTGACATTAGTTATCAAAATTGTCGATTGAAAATGTGATGCATTTCCGTGGTTTGCAGGGACACGAGCAAGACGCCGGCCGAATCGGCCTGACCATAATTTGCGCCGGGATGCTGGGCTCCGTTGTGTGCGGAGTCTTATTGGACAAAACGCACAAATTCAAGTGAGTGGTCGGACTTTGCAGCTGACCGTTCCATGAGGAACGACGGCTCTCGCGGCCCTTTCCTCGACACAGTCCCCGGATAGACAAATTTCGGCATATGGTCTGACCGAATCATATAAAGACTGAATTCGAAAATAAAAAATAGCAGCATCATCAAGAGGCACCCCGAAATATCATATGAAAAATATAGAAAAGCGTTTCTATTTTTTTCAATGGAAATATCATTACTTACTTTTTTCGTATGATATCTCAATTTCGAGAAATTTTCTATATGAGATCTCAATTATTTCATATGATATCTCAATTGAGGTATCATATAACAAAATGAATAATAACGATATTTCAATTGGAATATCATATGAAAAATATAAAAAAGCTTTTCTATTTTTTTCAGTTGAGATATCATTACTTATTCTTTCATATGATATCTCAATTGAAATAATTGAGATCTTATGTAGAAAATTTCTCGGAAATCTCATTTTAGATCTCAATAGAAATTTTTCAGTAGAGATGGCATCATAAAATATAAATATATTGAATGCGTGCATGCGAATTTGCAGGGAGACGACGATTGGGCTCTACACGCTCTCCCTCGTGGGGATGGTAATCTTCACTTTTACACTGAACGTCCGCAGCATATACGTCATCTACCTCACGGCTGGCATCTTGGGGTAAATTCTTCAGCGACAGCATTTATGTCTATCGTTTCCTCGTCATCTCCTCGACGAATCCTCCTCTTCCTCCTCTCTTTGTCCCGCGCGAAAATTCACCTCAATTATCGAATGCGGATACTAAGACACTTGTGACCCACTCAGCCAGACAGCGCAACTTCCAAAAGGTGTCTTCAAGACACCAAGTCCAAGAGACACCTCATTATCTCAGGTATCTCTTAGACGTTTTCAAGAAGACGTCCTTTAGAACTCGCGCTGTCTGGGTGAAAGCTTGCTGCGGCCTACGGCGACTACCACGAGCTCTGTTTGCAGCTTCTTCATGACCGGCTACTTACCGGTGGGCTTCGAGTTCGCCGTGGAGCTCACCTACCCGGAGCCGGAAGGCACCGCCGCCGGCGTGCTGAACGCGGCGGTGCAGATATTCGGTATCACCTTCACGATGCTGTACGGCTACCTGTTCAATATATGGGGCGACTTCTGGGCGAACGTCGCACTGTGCGTGACCCTCGGGTTCGGCACGCTCATCACCATCGTGATCCCAAATAACCTGAGACGCCAGAACGCGAAGGCCTGACCCTCATCCGGCTCAGCGTAATCCAGCACCGCGGTTCAACCGAACTTAACTTACCCCTCAAGCGTCTGTGCATCGCGCGTGTGCTACAAGTAGCGCTGTTCTTCATGGCCACGCTGTGCGTTTGCGACAAGAGCAGATGAGGAAGCTCGTCGGTGGGTGAACCGTTCCTCTCGACCTTGTTGTTGCTGCTGTTGTTGTTGTTGTTAGCTGATCCTCTTGACCTCAGGTGAGCGGTAGTAAGTAGGCGGCGTTAGGCAGCGACGAGTTTTGATCCGACGAAAAGAAGGGTGCGCCGGGAGAGCGAGCTCAAAACCCGCACAGATAATGTTCGCGGGGAGTCGGCGAGAATTGTCGTGTTACGTATTACTAAGTTACGAATTCGGCAGAGCTCCTGGAGCTCAATCGTGTGCCGTGAAACGGCGAAGGTGGAAATTATGAGTAAGTAAATTTACTAAAAAAAAAAAAAAATTCGGCGAGAGAAGTAAATATTTCGGTAAATTCACTCACTTTTGTCATTTCCAAGTTGATCCTCTAGCGCCTCGCCGCAATCGTCTTGACTGACGACGCCGAAAACGAAGAGTGCGTTCAACGTTCTTGCGAGACGCTTTAAGGTCCTAAAGTATGTCCACACGAAATGACGCGATCGGTCGAGCGGATCTGGAAGTCCCGGAGACTCTCCTTTTGCTCTTCTAATAATGAGTTTGATACGTGGTCTACTTTGTAACTGCAAGTTGACTTTAAGCTACTCTACGTTTACTTACACTGCGGTTATTTATTGATTATCAGGACAAAAGAGAAGCATTTCGGGGGATATTTAACGAGTCTGCTCGATCGACCGCGAATTTTGTAGGCAAATTTGTTTGGTTTGAATGTATTTCGCAAGAATTTCCAGCGCGTTTTTTCGCTTCTGACGTCATCAGTCCGCACCGCAGCTTCACCGTTTTCCTTCTGTTTCTCCCCGTTTCGATCAATCGACTTTATTCCTCGTGAAAGACAATCTCGAACTAAATTCGACAAGAAAGAAAACAAAAAGGAATCGACGACTCCCTTCTCATGTACGTCGCGGACTCGACGGCGATACGTGCCTAGTTCGTGCCATTATCGTCGCCTGATTATTTCCGATCTAATGAAGCGAACGAAGGATAATAAGCAACGGTCGCGCACGACAAATATTTTCCTAGACCGCTTATGTCGCCAAGACAAGAAATGGACGGTTCGTTAGACAGTGTGTAGCTATTCGTGAATTAGCTGAGTTTACCGTAGCATCCGCTCGCGGATACTGTAAGAGGAGTTCACGTACTAGTACTAGGTTTTCGTCCCGAAAACGGAATCGTCACGCGACCCCTGTTGGAAAATTTCCATTGAGATCTAGAGTGAGATTTTCTAGATGAGATCTCAATTATCTCTTATGAGATATCATATGAAAACAATAAGTAATGATATTTCAATTGATTACATGAAGAGTAGAAAAAAAGCTTCTCCATTTCTGCGACCCCTGTCGGAAAATTTCCATTGAGATCTAGAATGAGATTTCCGGAAAATTCCTAGATGAGATTTCAATTATTTCAATTGAGATATCATATAAAAAAATAAGTAATGATATTTCAATTGATACATTATATGAAGAGTAGAGAAGCTTCTCTATTTTTCTCAATTGGAATATCACTATTTATTTTTTCATATGATATCTTGGTGGAAATAATCGAGATCTCATAATTTTTCAGAAATCTCAGACAGAAATTTTTAACAGAGACGTACTTTGTGACCCTTGATCTTTGGCGCGACAAGGACGCGATCGTGGGCGTAAAAGCAAAAGCAGCTCTGTAAGCCCCGTGAACGTGCCCCATCTAGCGTGCCACCGATTGTAACTCTCCAACCCGAAACGTGAGAACGCAAGCAAGATGAGATCCACGCTACGTAATTGTGTTAGATACTTATTCATGTGCGACGTGCAAATAGCATCCCGTACAAAATCTCATTGATCGTGAATGCGCGGTTATCGTGATCCTCTACCGCGCCAACAGAGCTCTCCAAGCATCTCCGCTTTCAAATTAGCGACAAATAAATCGTCTTCCAACGCGACGTCTCGCCATTGTATTTTTTAGGCAATTTATCATTCCCATAAAGATTGTTCTATTTTGTAAATAAAATGTTGAAAGGTACGGTGTATTGTGAGTCTCTTACCTTCGTGCATCAGCTTTAAGTGCAAATGAAAAAGGGACATACCGAAAATATGTTTATAAAAGTGCGCACGCGTGTACAAGATTTTCCGAGAAATGAATTTCGTATCGCCGACGTAAACGGCTAATCCGGCTGAGATCCGACGTGTCTATAACGCGAATAACGAAAATGAGTATATCTCGTGCTACGATGTTAATAAATTTTTTATTTATGAAATCATTTAGCCTACACTCGCTTAAATAATGCGCTGTCGATAACGGGGCGTACGCACCGGGATGTGCGACAAAATGATAAGGGACTTCTACATCGTATCGATCCCGATGAGCTGACACGATCTGTAACATCCTTTTTACACACTCGTCTCGTACAATTTCTATGTTGCGGCGAATATAAAAAGTGTTTGACGATTCGAATACGAAGTTACAGGTAACAAAGACACCGTCTATTCTATGAGCTTCTTCATCCTGAAGTAACGTCGGAAGTAAAAGAGCTGCCACGTGGACAAGCCGAAGAGGATGCATATCGAGAGTAAGCTGAAGTACAGCACTCGGGTGTTCGTCGTCTCTGAAATGGAGAAAAGCGCGTTTTTTCATTACTCGTTGCATCGTCGAGTGACTAAATTCTCAATCGTTTCCGATGCAATCCGAAACTTCGGAACAAAATTGCACAGTCGTCCTCTTTGACGACTCTTCTATTGCTTACGTCTGAGAGAAACCAAGCGAGATAAAAATTTATAACCGCCCGTATACTTCTCTTTACTTGCGTTAGCTCGCGGTTCTCTCTGTTTTCTCTCCGCCTTTCTTATTTATTCGACGTACCATTTGTGTCTCTCATTTCCTCCTCATTCTTGCGCATTCGGGCAAAATCTTGCACTATCGCCTCGGACAGGTCCTCCAACCGTTTCAACTCCACTTCCACTGGTTTCAGTTTGGCCGCCTCGCCGATCTACGATCGAACGAGACGGATAATGATGATTCTCAAGACCGACGGTCTTGTTAATGTCGCAATCGATAGAAATCAAACGAAAAAACGAGCACATCTATTGCTGAGCAAAACTAAAGCGCAGTGGATGATTTGTGTATGTGTTCTGTGTACTTCGTACAGAGCAAAACAAAATATTATTAGGGACTGAGATAGTTAACTGTTGGGAGCCGAATACGACCGATTGCGTAATTACGGTACTTTCTTCAACGATTCTGCATTAACGGAATGTCTACAGCGACGAAAGCATGCAACAAATTAACAAAACTGTGCTATGCTTCAACAGCTTAATCCTATGACTGGCTGTGGTATTGTATGGTGCCAGTTTGTTGACAAAACGCATGCCGGTGAGAGAACACAATATTGAAAATTCTACTTTACCAACTGCGCCGCGGAAACAAGCCACATATAAAAAGAAAGTAGATAAAATAACGTCAGAAAGTTCCTCACATGTAACGATACCGGGCAAGTATAAAGTTCATGAGGAATATGATCATCAATTACAATACATAGTTGGGTGAACTTACGCCTTCGTAACTCTTAGCCTCAATACCACGTTTTGTGATTAGCAAAACTTCTTGTTTAACACCTCGTTGATCTAAAATTATATTTAACGTATTATTTTTAATATTTATATGTGTATGCTATATATTTATCTTCTCTGTATTTCTTAAATATTTTAATATATATTATATAAACATAAATTTCTACATCATAACAGGAACAATGTTTGATAATGATTAGAAATAATTAAATTAAAAATATTAATATACGTACGGTTTGGAACATGCGAAATAAAGCATATCTCAAAAGTGTCATAAGTTTCAGTGACAAAGGAGAACTTTAATAATTTTCCATGGGGAATATCTTCCTTCTGGGATAATATGTGTCCTTTGGAATCTTGAATCTGAAAATAATAAAAAAATTTATTTCAAAGATTTATATTTATTATACATTATTTACGACTGACAACTACAGTTTATGTCAGAATCTAAATGTACATGTTAAAAGAGAGAAAGAGATAGGCATACAAGAGTTCTGTCTTAAACTATATTCTCTATACTTCTTTTTTGTCCTTTACCCAACAATTAAAGTATGAATATATACGCAAGTGAAAATATATTTTTTATCAAATATCAATATCTTTAACAAAACGTATATAAAAATAAATCAAATCAATATGTCTGCTTCCCTTGGTTCTACCTTCTGCTCTGTTTGCTAAAAATTTTCCTATTGCCTCCTCTTTCTTCCACTGCCTAAATGTATATTTATTTGACGTGAAGAAAAAAAAAAAAAGATAAGGCGAGCTTACCATAAGGTTCATTTCTCTCTTATTTCGGTAACGTTCTTCACATTTTATTTCTTCTCTCTTGTCGCACCCCCCAACGTCTGACTTTCATTTCACATTTCTACTTTATTCAAGAAAGAGCGGGGAAAAATAGCCAAAACAAACGAACTTACGGTGCATCAGAAAGAACAAGAGATTCGCGAGATCAGTTGTCTTCATTTCGTTCCCACATTTCGACACGAGATAAAAGGAAAGAGTCGCTCCGAAGCAAATCGTAATCTACTTACTACATAGTCTGTCTTCTGACCTAATGCTTCAGACACTTCGTACTCGCCTGTGAGGAGTACGTTCGCGTGCACCTCCTCCTTCAGACACTTGTGACTGTTCGGCTCCAGGTAAAACATGATGCAATGAGCCTGAGCGATCAGCAAAATCGCCAGGAAGGTCTCCACACCGAAGTGACTCATTTTGCCAGTTATTAACGACGATTCGCAGTGATCGTCCCGAAGAGAAAATTTTAATGTATCACCCGTCTATCGCACTCACAGGACATCCGTCATCGACTTGCCGCGATGAGGTGGCAACCATTGGCCATATTGATAATCCGGAGTAGAATGGTCGACGTATCTCTGCCATCTCTCTCTCTCTGTCTTCCTCTCCCTCTCTCTCTTTCTCTCTCTCTCTCTCTCTCTCTCAATGTTAGGTTAGAATAAAAGGAAATATACGTATCTCACTCTAGCTTAGGCCGGCTACACACGGAAGCTTATGGCGGAAGTTGGTTAGGGAACATCGCAGTAGCCAATCAACGTCCCACACGCCACATTTTCGTAAATATTATTATTTCCGGGCAAGCAAGGTGCTGAATGGCTATCGCAGTATTCCCTAGCCAACTTCCGTTAAGCGTTACCTGTGCATCGACAGGTGGTGGGCATTTTTTATGCGGAAGTCATTAGACATTAGACCAATTCTAGACGCCGAGTTGGACGCTGGTGTTTTGTCGGATTTTGTTTCTGATTGCATTTACCAAGCAAGCGTCAAATTTGTTCTATTAGACGCTTGGAGCCAGGCCAAAGATAGGCCAACTTATTTACACCCACAGCACGATTCCAATTTATACCTGAATTATTTTAAGAAAAAGAATTGTCGCTGTGCGCAATTTCATGTGTCCCTCTACAGCGTATGCGTCGATGATCTAGGAAATCTAGAGTGCAGTGTCGATAACCCAGTAGAAGTAAGGAGGTTAATGAAGGATCGGGCTTTTTTAAATCTGTAAACATTAGACTAGACAGGAGAATAATTGGTAAATGCATTGGAAAATTATAACAAAACGTTCGAAAAAGATTCTGTTCTTAATTTTTTCATGTATGCATATGCATATGCAATGTGTCCCAAAATTATCCAACCAAACGTTAATACTATTCTAGAAATGAAGATAAATAATAAAGGTTTAGTGCATCCAACATGCATCCAAAAACAATCATTAACGAGTTGCTAGTTTAAACTTATATGTTTAAATTTAAAATTATGACGATGATTTATAACAAGTTTAAACTTATGATCATATAACACGCAATTGTAGATAAATTGGCATCAAACTCGCATATAATTGCAAGGACTGTTTAAAGTGACTACTCTCAGCGGCATGCTTTTGCATGCTTTCTTAAGAATTGCTAAACTCTGTCAAAAATGATAGAAGAGTTTTGTATGATATCAAATGAATTTATAATGTGCTTCCAAAGTTAATCAATATTTGGGATAGGTTCTGCAATATAAACTAAGGTTTTATGATACCTTTTAAATAAAAATCATAAATAAGATTGATATCAGTAACCACTTAGATTTTTCTTTAACTGAATATTTTTGAGATACTTTGTATATATCATTTCATATTATTTAAAAAAAATCTGAATTTTAAATATCTTGTTAGTGCATTATACAATATATATTTCACAATTATGTCTCTTTTCAGATTTCATAACTATAAAAATTTTGTTGAGAAACTGAAAGGATTTTTATATTTGCTTGAGTAGCAAGTGATTATTCGTATAAAACATGGCTCATTACAAGGGAGCGGCCAGTGAAGCTGGTCGAGCCATGCAGCTAATGAAGAAGAGAGAAATTGCACAGCAAGAGATAGAGCTGCGTAAAAAGAAAATTGAAGATGACTTGAAGATTCATAATATAGAGAATAAGTTTGCAACTCATTACAATGCTGTTGAACAACAATTGAAAACTTCCACTATTGGTCTTGTTACGTTGAATGAAATGAAGGCCAAGCAGGAAAATATAGTGAAGGAACGCGAAAGGAAACTTGCTCAAAAGGAACGAGAGAAAGAGCAGGAAAAGGAGAGAGCATTAGCAGCTAAGCAAGCAGAAAAGAACAAACAAAAACGACAGATCCAGGCATTGTCTTTTAATCTGGAGGAAGAAGAGACTGAAGTTTCTGATGATGAAGTCAAGGAAACGCCTATAAAATCTGAAGAAAAGCAACAGAATGGACATGTAATTAAGAAAATCAAGAAAAATCCCGATGTCGATACGAGTTTTCTACCGGACAGAGAGAGGGAAGAGGAAGAAAATAGACTTCGGGAGGAATTGAGGCAAGAATGGGCAATGAAGCAGAACGCGTTGAAGGAGGAGGAAATTGAAATTACATTCAGTTACTGGGACGGATCAGGTCATCGCCGAAGTGTTATAATGAAGAAAGGTATTTTAATATAACATATCGTCCGCGCACATGTGTTCACGATTAAAATTTTGCATTGTTAGAGCAGAAATATTATGATGTGATAAAAAAATATAACTTGCAAGTTGAAATACTGATGTGATGTATAATTGTATATAATTTCTTTCATATAGATTAATAATATTTGCTTTTCACTTGTGTAGGTAATTCCATTTACCAACTTCTTCAGAGATGTTTAGAAGTGCTGAGACGTGAATTCAGTGAACTTAAAACAGTGATGGCAGACCAATTGATGTATGTCAAAGAGGATCTTATATTGCCACATCACTACACATTTTATGATTTTATCGTAACGAAAGTATGTATAAAAAACAACAATATTCATTTCCTGCAAAAAACATGTATGATGTACTTTAATTACAATGAGTAATTAAGTAGATTGAATATAATGTGATTTTCTTTCTTAGGCACGAGGAAAGAGCGGACCTTTGTTCACATTCGATGTTCACGATGATATTCGAGTTATGCATGACGCTTCTGTTGAAACCGAGGAGTCACATGCTGGAAAAGTTCTACTCAGGTCTTGGTACGAGAGGAACAAGCATATCTTCCCAGCAAGTAGATGGGAACCTTTCGACCCAACGAAGAGTTACGACAAGTATACAGTGTCGGATAAAAATAGGAAGAAGGACAAAATCTGATAAATTTGAACGCAAACTATCCGGTCTAGCACAGGAATAATAATAATATCGGGTTTGTTCTTTTTCGAAAAACTTTTGAACTAGTGCAATAAATTAGAATGAGACAAAAAATGTCTGTTTCATTTCAACTTATTGTAATTCATAAGTCCTTCGAAAAAGTTCTTCGCAAAAGGACGGACCTATTATTTTATATTTGAGAGCTCAAGTCCAAATTACGATTGTAAAATATTAATTTTACGACCGTATTGGTAGGTACTCCAATATATGAATGACATTGTGATATACATATACATGTGTATATATGTATCTATATCGCGTATGTTGTAATTACTCTGTGATTTTGGTGTAATTAGCTTAGGTTAATTCAGTAGATTAATTAGTTTATAAAGTGGATTTATAATTTTTATTTAATTAATTAATATATTAGTATATTGCGTTAATATATCATTAGTTGTAAGTTTTATTTGATTAGTCTAAATAGATTTATAATAATTAATTAATAAATTACATGATAAGCTACATGTAAGTTGCTGAAAGACTTAGATAAGGACTTTGAATATAAGGATCTTAAAGTAGGTGGGTAATATTGTCAACAAGATTGCGTTCTTGTCTCAATTTATTAAACAACAGTTGAACACGATAAAATCACTTTCCGTAACGGGTATCGTCGGGAAATGTATCCGCGAGAGTTGCGTCGAACTCTTCAAAATGTAATTGTACAAAATTAATAAATACCGATAATGTATAGTCACGTGTTTGTGGATTTAATGCAAAGAGGATTCATATAAGTGATATTTTCGGGAAAATGATCCATTATGATAAACCTCTTCTCGGTCGATTTGTTCAAAGTCTCGAGAAATCCAAACCAATAGATAACTAGTCCGGATCCGAATCTGTTCCAATAGCTCAAGAACTGCTCCTTCATATATTTCTGATGAACTTCCGCATTACCAAAACGTGCCTTTGATTCAATCCAGTTGATCAGACAACCGTTCACCGCGATTGGTACTTCCAATTTAATATCTGGAGTTTTGTCGTACCCCCGCAATCGTAAGTGCTCTTCGTTTCGGAACGCGATATTTCTTTGTATCAAACTGTTCTCGAGCTTAATTTCATATTCCTGTCCTATACAACTGAAAAAAAAAAAAGTATAACTTTCCGTGATGTGTTATTATGAGAAATAGAATGAGTGTTGAATTTAAATGAAATCATGCTTCAACATGTATTGATCCAAGTTTGTCATGAAATCATTAGTGTTTTACAGTGAAGGATATTTACATTCCCATTGCATCAGCTATAGGTCCATATAGATCATCGTATAACAGACACTGTAAGTAAAAATTCAACTACAATATTTTAACATCAGAAGGTCTATAATTAAAATAAAGTATGCTGTTTATATGAAAAAACTGTGAATGAAATAATTTCAAATAACAATTACCAGATATATCTCATACGCAAGATCCTTGTCCCTAATTAGTGTAGTATCCTTAAACAGCTTGGTAATTAAATTCTTGGAGGCTGAAATTATTTCACAAAATAACATTTTCAAATAATCTCCCCGTAAGAACTTTTTAATTGTATCATCTTGCTTTGTGCATATATTGCTCAAAGTTGGTTATACCATTTGCATTTTCAAACATGCAATATCTTTCCAAGACATTACGTGCTAATAAGGCAGGTGAGGCATCTATATCCTTGGCTATTCTCAATAAAATACCTGTTGGTTCTCTATTATTTATTGCTTCCAAGTAACTGTAAGAATATTATTAACATAATCAATATAGACAATGATGATTGATACATACTTTATTTTTATTTTATACTATGTTTACTTCTGGATAAATCAACTTACCTATCATAATAACTTTTATTATTTCCGAATAATTTGACATGGTTGACTTTCATTTTCTGTTGTATTTCCAAAGATAAAATACTGTAGAGTGTATTAACCGGTATACTGTAGGAATGTAAATAGACAATTTTAAATATAATTCTAATATTTTCTAAGTGACATACAAGAAATCAAGAAGACCGATTTTATCTAGTATTTGTACTTTTCAACCTGACTGCAGTAAAAGAGAAATTCTTACTCGTTATATTTTTCCTTCAGCATTTTGGCACAATCTTTCGACAGACCTCGAAAATTCCGAATTGTCGTTATTATGTCATTGTATAATTCGGTCTTCATTATTTACAATGGTTGTTACAACTCATCAAAGTGTCAAGTTGGTACATCAGTTCTTTTTAGCTGCACTCAGCTGTACTGCTGAGTGCAATAAGTGAGAGTGAGACAACTATATTTCTTCTCTTCTTACTCTAACTAGAGAGGAACCTGAAAGCAGAGAGGAAGCTGAGAGCGGCCAACACGGCGTTTTCGGCGACACCGATTTTTCACACTGGGAATGGGCGCCATCTGCATCCATTTTGAGAGGGAACTACGATGCTACATCCACTTTTGGATCTCGACGGTAAAACCTGCATCTGGTGGCTGTCCGTGCTACATCCACTTTCGGCTGTTTATGTCCGTGCTACAAACATAATAGCGTACTTGACAAGCACGGTCTCGCGCATTGTTATGCATTTGTAACATGAATTAACATGTTAACATGCACAAAAAAATAAGAGATTGTATATGATTAATATCATGAAGATTATATACGATTTATATCGATATATAAATATATGATAATAAGATAATATTTCGTGTGTACCCAAAATTATTTTTCCAAAATATTTTAGCGGTACGTTAGTATTTATTTATATTCCGGCAGGCGTTTTTAGTGCAGTTGTGTCCGTGTGCATGTGTTGCATTGAAAGTGTGCGTGACGTACGTGTGCATATACGCACTCACACACGCACACACGTGTCATACGCAACAGATAGAATCTCAGGGTATATGCTTAAACATTTTCAATTGCCGTACGTTTCTATGTAAGAATGTAGTCGGCACACACACGCAGAGAAACTGCTCCCGTCTATCCGTCTGAAGTCCCGCCCTCCGCTCGGCTTGTTAAAGTTTTTCGGCTCGGCTCGGTTAAAGCTCGGAAGGTTAAAGTTTTCCAAGTTTATATATAATATGCGTTTTTTTGCTGCCCATTGTCAGGGGGAGCAGAATGTCCCCTGACTGTATAATACGTCTTATATATTACATCTATTGCCAACTGTTGGGGGGGGGCAGATTGTCCCCCGACAATAAATTATATAAAATTGGGGTCAGGCCTATGCCTGAAAATATACTGTATTTACCCCGGGGGCATGCCTCCCGGGGAACATTTATTGTGTAAATAAAGTAGTATGCGAAGGTTAAAGTTTTCCAAGTTTTCTCCGTTGATATCTCCGCTTCTACTGGGAGTAGAGAGTCGCCACTTACGGCAAAATGTAGGGTTTTGAGAGGACTTTAATTTGGTGCCAGAACCAAGCCTGTATCTCTAACCGTTTAGGAGATATCGAAGGTTAAAGTTTTCCAACCTTTCTCCGTCGATATCTCCGCTTCTACTGGGAGTAGAGAGTCGTCCATGTAGTGCAAAATGTAGGGTTTTGAAAGGGCTTTAATTTGGTACCTGTCCGAAGCCTGTATCTCTAACCGTTTAGGAGATATCGAAGGTTAAAGTTTTCCAACCTTTCTCCGTCGATATCTCCGCTTCTACTGGGAGTAGAGAGTCGTCCATGTAGTCCAAAATGTAGGGTTTTGAAAGGGCTTTAATTTGGTACCTGTCCGAAGCCTGTATCTCTAACCGTTTAGGAGATATCGAAGGTTAAAGTTTTGCAACTTTCTCCGTCGATATCCAGTCTTCATCCGTCGATATCTCCGCTTCTACTGGGAGTAGGGAGTCGTCCATGTAGTCCAAAATGTAGGGTTTTGAAAGGGCTTTAATTTGGTACCTGTCCGAAGCCTGTATCTCTAACCGTTTAGGAGATATCGAAGGTTAAAGTTTTCCAACCTTTCTCCGTCGATATCCATCCTTCATCCGTCGATATCTCCGCTTCTACTGGGAGTAGAGGGTCGTCCATGTAGTCCAAAATGTAGGGTTTTGAAAGGGCTTTAATTTGGTACCTGTCCGAAGCCTGTATCTCTAACCGTTTAGGAGATATCGAAGGTTAAAGTTTTCCAACCTTTCTCCGACGATATCCAGTCTTCATCCGTCGATATCTCCGCTTCTACTGGGAGTAGAGAGTCGTCCATGTAGTGCAAAATGTAGGGTTTTGAAAGGGCTTTAATTTGGTACCTGTCCGAAGCCTGTATCTCTAACCGTTTAGGAGATATCGAAGGTTAAAGTTTTCCAAGCTTTCTCCTTTGATATCTCCGCTTCTACTGGGAGTAGAGAGTCGCCACTTACGGCAAAATGTAGGGTTTTGAGAGCACTTTAATTTGGTGCCAGAACCAGGCCTGTATCTCTAACCGTTTAGGAGATATCGAAGGTTAAAGTTTTCCAAGCTTTCTCCTTTGATATCTCCGCTTCTACTGGGAGTAGAGAGTCGCCACTTACGGCAAAATGTAGGGTTTTGAGAGCACTTTAATTTGGTGCCAGAACCAGGCCTGTATCTCTAACCGTTTAGGAGATATCGAAGGTTAAAGTTTTCCAAGCTTTCTCCTTGATATCTCCGCTTCTACTGGGAGTAGAGAGTCGCCACTTACGGCAAAATGTAGGGTTTTGAGAGCACTTTAATTTGGTGCCAGAACCAGGCCTGTATCTCTAACCGTTTAGGAGATATCGAAGGTTAAAGTTTTCCAAGCTTTCTCCTTTGATATCTCCGCTTCTACTGGGAGTAGAGAGTCGCCACTTACGGCAAAATGTAGGGTTTTGAGAGCACTTTAATTCGGTGCCAGAACCAGGCCTGTATCTCTAACCGTTTAGGAGATATCGAAGGTTAAAGTTTTCCAAGCTATCTCCTTTGATATCTCCGCTTCTACTGGGAGTAGAGAGTCGCCACTTACGGCAAAATGTAGGGTTTTGAGAGCACTTTAATTTGGTGCCAGAACCAGGCCTGTATCTCTAACCGTTTAGGAGATATCGAAGGTTAAAGTTTTCCAAGCTTTCTCCTTTGATATCTCCGCTTCTACTGGGAGTAGAGAGTCGTCACTTACGGCAAAATGTAGGGTTTTGAGAGCACTTTAATTTGGTGCCAGAACCAGGCCTTAATCTCTAACCGTTTAGGAGATATCGAAGGTTAAAGTTTTCCAAGCTTTCTCCTTTGATATCTCCGCTTCTACTGGGAGTAGAGAGTCGCCACTTGCGGCAAAATGTAGGGTTTTGAGAGCACTTTAATTTGGTGCCAGAACCAGGCCTGTATCTCTAACCGTTTAGGAGATATCGAAGGTTAAAGTTTTCCAAGCTTTCTCCTTTGATATCTCCGCTTCTACTGGGAGTAGAGAGTCGCCACTTACGGCAAAATGTAGGGTTTTGAGAGCACTTTAATTTGGTGCCAGAACCAGGCCTGTATCTCTAACCGTTTAGGAGATATCGAAGGTTAAAATTTTCCAAGCTTTCTCCTTTGATATCTCCGCTTCTACTGGGAGTAGAGAGTCGCCACTTACGGCAAAATGTAGGGTTTTGAGAGCACTTTAATTTGGTGCCAGAACCAGGCCTGTATCTCTAACCGTTTAGGAGATATCGAAGGTTAAATTTTTCCAACTTTTTTCGTTGATATCTCCGCATCTACTGGGAGTTGAGTGTCTTAATTATTGGTGAAATGTATGGTTTTTAGAGCACTACATTTTGTGCAAGAAACAGGCCTGTATCTCTAGCCGTTTAGGAGATATCGGAGCTTAAAGTTTTCCAACTTTTACCTTTGATATCTCCGCTTCTACTGGAAATTGAGTGTGGAAATTTATGGTAAGATTAGGGTTGGTATAGGACTACATTGTGGCAAGAGCGCGTTCCTGTATCTTGTACCGTTTAGGAGATATAATAAGTTAAAATGTTTAACTTGTGATGTGAATATCTCCGTTTCTACTGTGAATTGAAAGTCGAGCTTTATGGTCAAAGTAGGGTTGATATATAACTATATTGAAATAGAGCGTTCCTGTATCTTGAGACCTTTAGGAGTTATCGAAGGTTAAGTATGCCATCGATGAGGTTCGCTTATAACTTCCATTTATCTCAAGAGCGCTTCTCGGGAACATTCCGTTCGAAAGGTTAGTCCGCGATAAAAAGTTTCTTATGATCTGAGGCCTCTGTTGTTTAAAGTTAAATTGCAGCAACAGTATTGTTATTGGTCAACCCTGGGACCGGCTGCTAACATCCATTTGTGACGTCTGCCGCGCCTTTGCGATTACCGATAAATTCAGTTTTCTTGATTGCTCGCGCGATTTCAAGTGGCCATAATATATGGCGAGAATACATGGCAATATATGGGAATAATGTATGGTAATAATATACGGCAACAATATATGGCAACAATTTATGGCAACAATATATGGCAACAATATGTGGCAACAATATATGGCAATAATATAGGACAATAATTCATGGAATATATTTTCGTTACAAGAGTCAATGCAAATTTGCGGCATGCACAATGTAATAATAAAAGTAATAATAAAGTAATAATAAAAGTTCTTTCTGCGAGCTTTGAGTCAGACACTCACCAATGATGATATTGATGATGTCCTGTTGCATCCAACCAGATCCACCAATGTCCGCCCATGTCCGCTGCCGCTCTCCATGTCGCGCATGGAGACAACATCCATCTTGCAGCTCGTCCCACGGTGATCGCTACACTTTCATCACACTTCCGCGACGCGGTCGATACGCCGTATTAGAACGGCGATATTTACATCAATTAACGAACGTTTTACTCGCCATCGGTGGAAACTTTTTGCGCGCTGCGAAACGGACTCTATAAACTCGATCGGGGAGGAGTAAGAACCGTTTGAAAATTTATTGACTCGTCCAACGGATTTTTACGGTGCTTTTTGCGATTGCGTCTGAAAAGTCGCGAAAATGTGGGATTATCGATATCTACGAGTGAAATATTCGCGACGCGAATGCACGCGAGGAAAGATTAGACAATCAGAAACCGGTCCCCCTTAGGGAGCGCAAAGAGAGAGGAGCGGGGCAAAGTTTTCACGCATTATAGCTCTGTCATGACGAAGCTTACGTTCGCGATACTTTGGCGAAATGAGAATTTAAGTTTTCTTTGTTAGCAATGCGAGTAAAAACGCGTATATTGACAACTGCGATCGCGATATTCAAAGGCACGCGAGCGAGAATACCTCAAGCTCGGCGTGCGCTGGCGCAATTTCTACGCGCATTATACGCTACTCGAGACAATA